GCCGCCTCAGCTGTGCGTCTCGCCGAAGGACCGCCGCACCTTCCTCTACGCACCTCCGCTTCCATTCCCATACCAGTTCCACGCGGAGCCGAAGTGAAGGCCGGTCTTTGCGTCTCGCTCGCCACGAAGCGCAGTTCGCTGCCTGTAGCGCCGCGCCGAGCCATCCGACGAGGCCGTGCGCAGACATGCTCCACTCTACTCTGTGTCGGTCTCACCTCGGCCCCGACTGACGGTCGATGCCATGCGATGCGATGGGATCCAACAGGACGCGGACGCCAAGAGTGGCGTCGGCCGCGTACGAGATCCTTGGCAGCTGCGTGCGTGCGTGCGTGATGGTGGTGGAGATTGTCCAAGGTTCTAATGAGGGGGAGCGCGGGGGTCTATGTACATTAAGGCTAACGCGGGCCAGCAACGATGTCGGAGAGCGTGCGGTGATGCCGTCGATGCCGGTGCAAGGCTGCTTGGGGTCCGATCCGAGGGGTGAAGGCGGCGCTCGAGCAGCGACCGTGTCAAGGACCTGCTCCGCTTCACAAGCCGTACACCTGCAGAGGACACGAGGCGTCGAGGATCGACATTGGGCAGAGAATCGGCCGGAAAGAGTCAACACACCGTCTCGGCAGGGATCCGGACCAAAGGGCGGATCGATGGAGCGCGCAGGCGGGCCGACTCACCGAAACGTAGAGCTTCTCCGTGGGCAGCATCTGCGGAGGGCGGTAGACGAGGTTCATGTTGGTGCGGCGGTTACCCCACGGGTCGGTGAGGCGCAGCGACTTGACGGGGACGCCCATCACCTGCTCGTACCACACCTCGGCTGTCGCCCAGATCTCGCGCCTGCCGAGTTAGAAGAGACGAGAGGGGGGAGGATGTCGATGGCGAGTCAGAGGACGAGCGATTCTCTGGCAGTACCGGAGAACGGTGGGTCGTCGATCGACGGCCTAGCAGCGTCACTCACTCGTTGTAGGCCAGCTCGGTCGTGTTACCCCCCGAGCAGCTCGAGGAGACGAGCTGGGCGCCCTCGTGCCAGAAGGGCGTGAGGATGAGGGTGCCGTTGGAGAGGACCTCGTACGTGCCGTGCTGCCAGATGAGCTGCGAGCCGACGCACTGTGGCTTGCGGGCTGCGCGGGGAGGAGAGGGCGTACGAGTCGAGAGGCGAGAGCGAAGAAGGGGTTGATTGGGCAGCGATGGAGTGCCGGAGAGCGGAGGCGGCGCAGGCGAAGAGACAGCGGTGAGCGCGGCGGCACACCAAGACAGAGAGGAGCAGAGGAACGAGGACGGCGGCGACTCACGATTAGGCTGTGCGAGGTACATGCTCTGCTCCCAGAAGCCGTCTGCGCTGAAGCTATACGAGATGCCGCGAGCGGGCGGTGGTGTAAAGGTGCGGTTGGCGGGCCAGAAGAAGCCCTGCGATCGGGAGGGGCGGGAGGAGACGGCAGAGGAGGGAGAAAACGGGGAGGCAAAGAGAGTGAGCAAGCTGCGCCAAGCTGAGAGACGACGGGGCCCGAATGAAGGAGGCCAGGGACGCACCAGCCCGGTGAGGACCTGATGGGAGCCGCTGGACCAGGTGCCGACGAGCTCGTTTGAGTTTGAGGTGTCGATGAGCTGCCAGTCCTGCACCACTGCTGCCGCGCGCTGTACGCAGCAGAGGGCGAATGCCAGCAGGCCGAGTGCGATGGTGCGGGTGGGAGCGAGCATCGGTCGTACGTCGATGTGGGTGTGTGCCTGGACCGAGGTGGTAAGGATTGGTTGGCGCGAGGGGTGGATGACGGTCAAGCAGTCCGCCAGCAGAAGGGGAAGGAGAAGGCGGTGAGGATGCTACGTGGCAACCGAGGCGGGTCGGGCGAGGATGGAAGTGTAGATCGAGGGACGGGCCCGGGTGAGATGGTGATGGTGGTGGTGGTCGATGCAATCAGAAGCGCTGACGGAGAGCGAGGGAGCGGGAGGAGGGAGGAGGGAGCGGGAGGAGGGAGGAGGGAGCGAGAGGGTCCGCTCGTCCCGCAAACGTGGTGTATCGCACGACAGCGCAGCATCCGGCCCCTTGGCTGGGCAGCCCAGACCGCAGCCAAGCCCGGCTGCCAGGACGATCAAGCAAGCGAACGACCTTTGGCGGTGCGTGTGCGACGAAAATAACACACACGACCAAACGAAGCTACGGTTGTGCGGGCGTGGTGCGGCGGTTGGCGGCGGCGGTTTGAGGTCGCCCGGCGGCCAGGGTGCGGATGCCAGCCCAGCCAGCCCAGCCAGCCCAGCCAGCCCTGCCAGCCCAGCCTGCCTGCCTGCCCCTTGCCGGCGCATTGGCGTTGCCGCTGGTGGTCCGGGGCCTGGCCGGGCGATTGCGCAAAGATCGCCGCGAATTTCCTGCATCCCTGCGGGCAAGCACCGCTATCAAGTCCAGTTGGAAATTTCCAAGGGCGACCGGCCTCAGGCCTCAGGCCTCCCACCGAGGCAGGCCGCTAGGGCTAGCGAGGCACGGGCGCGCCGCCGGGACGCCGAGGCACGCACGCACGCGGTTAAACCCAGCCTGCGCCGGTTTGCAAGTTGAGCAGCATTTTCGGGCCAAAGCGACAAAATTCTCCGTTGCGTGGCCAGGACGCCGCAGAGGCCGGCCTCGCCCTCTCGCACACTCGCTCTTGCCTTGCTTGCCCTCTCGATCCACGTACTGTACGGCACACGCCATGCGGCGCAACGCTGTTCTCCCGGACAGGCCGTTCACCGAAGAAGAGGTAGGTGGGCCTCGATGGAGCATAGCCTCTGACATCGAATGAGACTGCCAGCAGGCTAGGGGAGCAACCGACCCCTGCGCGGCTGACATGGCCCGGGGGCGGAGCGCCGATTGTTTGATGCAGGGTTCCAGCCTGGCTCAGGGGGGCCAGGCAGCCAGGCAGCCAAGTCCGGTCAGGGCTCGGGCCTCTTTGGGCGTGTTGCATGCAAGGCCTTGCACCGAGCGCAGCGAATTTCTCAACCACGCATACGAATCGGCGGCGCAGCGTTGGCAGCGCAGGCCGGGCCAGGTGCACCAACGTCGGCGGCCCAGTTTGGTGCCGTCTCTGTGGAATCGGTATCGGAATCGAGCCGTCAGCTGGCGGTTCCATGCCGATGCGCTCTCGGAGGGGCCGGATTGCTCCACCTCTTCGAGGTCAGTAGTCTCGCTCGGAAGGGCCGCGATCGAGACGTGCTGCGGAGAGGCCAGGCTCAACGGCAGGGCGGTCTGTGACTACTGCGGTTCAGAGGCCGGTGCTGGCGCTGGCGCTGGTGCTGGTGCCGGTGCCGGTGCCGGTGCCGGTGGTAGGGCGGTTCAAGAATGCGTATGGGCCGGTTGGGTCTCTTGATGCCGCCGTCACCGCCCGCTCCGCCCCGCCGGCCGGCCGACGGTCGACAAGCTCTGCGCCCATTAATGGCCGTCGGCCTACGTATCGAAGTTGCGGTTCCATCGCCGAGTCAAGCAGAGAGGGCCACCTGGCCAGCCAGGCGCAGGGAGCGAGCGACAGCGGACCCGCTACCCACGGCTCTGAGCCCAGCCTCTCCCTGCCTCAGCTTCTGCCGCACCCTCTCTCTCTCTGGTCGTCTCTGCTGCACCATCACCACCACCACCGCTGCCACCACCACTGCCGCCAATCTACCGCCGCACCGCGTCCTGCCTTGCCGCCGACTTTCCTTTTCCCATTCGACCCGGCCCTCTCGCTCTCTGTAGACCACCGTTCTCTATCGGATCTCTCCCTGGACCACCACCGACACCATCACCACCGACACCACCACCCACACCACCACCCTCCCCTCCCTCCCCTCCCTCGATTCCCGACTCGGACTCTCACCACCACTTTCCCTGATCTGCCGCCGCCGCGTGTAGCCTGCCCGTCTCGACCATGAGCTACGGCCGAGTGCCAGGCACCAACATGGGCGCCCACAGCGGCCTCAACACGCCCACCGGCTCAGAGGCCTACTCGGCATCCCACCACTCGGCATCCGAAGAGTACAGCGTCGATGCCACCCAGCTCTACAAGGACTACGACGAAGAGGACGACTACCTCCACTCGAGCCCCTACAAGGACGAGCGCTACTCGTTTGTCCAGGGCTTCTTCCATCTCCGCGGCTTCCTCAACATTGCCACCCTCGGCCTCATCGCCCTCGCCCTCCTCATGCTCTTCCTCGGCTACCCCGTCATCGCAAACGTCGAGAAGATCTTCAGCACCAAGCCCGACACCAACGCTCCGCAGCGCCAGTCGAACGTCGCACAGCGCGGCCTCATCGACCCGGACACGGACCCCAGCTTCTACAAGCGCACCTATGCCCCCGACGGCTCAAAGTGGCACCTCGTCTTTAGCGACGAGTTCGAGCAGGAGGGAAGGACCTTCTGGCCGGGCGAGGACCCCTACTTTGAGGCAGTCGACATCTGGTACTGGGGAACCGGAGGTGCGTAGAGGGTCATCGTGCGCGCCACAGAGCCCTGGCTCGCCCTTCGCCATCGCAGCCGCCGCCTCCGCTGACTGCTCACGCTCTCCAACATTGCTTGGTCCCTCCGCACACCCCCGCAGACTACGAGTGGTACTCGCCCGAGGCGGTCAACACCACTGGCGGCGCCCTCGTCATCACCCTCGACGAGTACGAAAAGAACCAAAAGAACTTCCGCTCCGGTATGGTCCAATCGTGGAACAAGGTCTGCTTCCAGGGCGGCTACGTCGAGTTTTCCGTCAAGCTGCCCGGTAGGCACGACGTCGCAGGCTACTGGCCCGGTCTCTGGACCCAGGGCAATCTCGGTCGGCCCGGTGAGTCCAACGTTCATCGCTCATCAAGGGCGGCCTCCGCCGCCGCGCCGCACCGCGCGTGCAGAGGTACGACTCTGCCGCCGCGAGGCAGAGCGGCATGCTGATTCGGATGCTGAGCGCGCTTCCCTCCTTTTCCGACACCACAGGCTACGGTGGCACCAACGAGGGCATGTGGCCGTACAGCTACGACTCGTGCGACACGGGCATCCTGCCCAACCAGACCTACCTCAACAAGACGGGCCCCGCCAAGGCGAAGAACGCCCACGGCCAGTACTCGTACCAGTACAACTATGACCTCTCGTGGATGCCCGGCATGCGCTTCCCGTCGTGCACCTGCCCCGGAGAAGACCACCCGGGACCCAACAACAACGTTGGCCGCTCGTCGCCCGAGCTCGACATCCTCGAGGCCAACATCAACCTGGCAGAGAAGCGCGGCCAGTCATCGCAGTCGCTCCAGATGGCTCCGTTCGACGTCGACTACTACTACGGGAACAAGACGGGCGTCAACGTCGAGATCTACGACACCGAGCAGACCAAGCAGAACGACTACACCGGAGGTGAGTGAGCGCCGAGACGCCGGCGGGACAACCTGACGGCCGGTCGGGCGGGCGGATCGACGCGCTCGCTTGCGAGGTGGGCCCGTCATGCCCAAAGATCTTCCTCGATGCTGAACCGACGTGCTCGCATTGCTCCCGTTCGCAGGCCCGATCCAGGAGTCGATCTCGGCGCTCAGCCTGGTGCCGGACAAGGCGTACCAGCTGAGCGAGCCCAGCGAGTACACGACGTTTGGCGTGCAGTGGGAGCCGGACTGGAACGGCGACGGCAAGGGCGCCTACGCGACCTGGATCATGGACGGCAAGCCGACGTGGACCGTCTATGGCAACGCCATCGGCCCCGTCCCGGAGCTCGACATCGGACAGCGCCTCATCCCGCGCGAGGCCATGGTGAGCAGGCGGCCGGCGACGAGGCCCAATCGCTACCCGGCCGCCATCCGCTCCGACACAGTACACTGACCTCCTCGGCCGTTCCTCCCTCCCCTCTGGCAACACAGTCGCTCGTGATGAACGTGGCCATCTCGCAGAGCTTCCAGCAGCCGGACTGGGACAACATGCCGTTCCCGGGCAAGATGGAGGTCGACTACGTGCGCGTCTACCAGCTCGACGGCCGGCCGGACCGAGTGACGTGCGACCCGGACGACTACCCGACCTACGACTACATCCAGCGCAACAAGGACATCTACTTTAACCCCAACATCACCGTGTTTGACAAGGCAAAGATTCCCAAGAATAAGCTGACCGGCTGCTAGGGAGAGTAGATAGACGACGAGGGGTGGTAAAAGAAGAGGGGGCGGAGGAGACGCGGTGAGACGCGCGATTGCCCGCATCTGTACATATCTCGCACATCAGCATCCCCTTGGCGCCAATCCTCAATGGACACTTGAGCTCTTGACCTGGATGGAGCGACGACGGCGGTCAGCGCGCGGCTCAGTGAGCTGGTATGTACCATGGCGGCGGAGGGAGGCAGAGGGAGGGGGTTCATCCCGACCGTCTGTCTGTGCGACAGTGGTACGACGCCGAGACTGCTTGCACCACAGCTGCTCGAGGCAACGCTGCTTGCCACTTGTTCTGCCTCTTGTTTGGATCGACCCTGGTGGTTGTAGGAGATACCGCAGGGCCCAGGATGGGTGGAGTCGTTGCCATGTTGCAGCGTCTCGAGCGGGTGCGCTCGTCGGACGGTATTGACAGGGGGAGACCCTCTCGGCATTGGGCCGTCATCAGCCAAGCAGGACCGGCCATCACGGTCGACAAGCGGCTTGAGTGCAAGCAGGCTTGCGCTCACGCTTCAGTCAAGGTTGCAAACCGAGAGGCAACAGCAGAGCTGATGCACTGCCCCTTGCAAGCTGTGTGCTGCTGCATCAGCTGAGCTGGTGCATGAGCCTGCCAGCATGTCTGTTGAGGTGAAGTACAAAAACATGTGACTGGGCAGCAAAACAGATGCCCTGGACTGCATTGTGTGTGCAGTGCATGTTTCAAGTACATGAGCAAGGTGCTTCCTTGTTGCTGTTGTGTACAGCAGCAAGACTGGGACGGCTAGATGGGCTTTGTGGATGATGTACATTTGGCCAGCACCACCATCATCAGTCTCTTGGATACCAAACAGGCAGACAGGGCTGCTCAGAACAAGCAAGGCCTCACCAGCTGCATCAGCCTGCTGTTGTTGGCAGCACAGCAAGCAATGTGCCTGGACACAAGGTGTGTCACCTCAGCTTCATCCCCATGCTTATCCTTTGCTGCAACTGCTCATTGCTGCTGTTGATCACGACTATGGCTGCAGAGATCTCCAAGACCCTGTTGATGTCTTGGGTCATCCTGGGGTGAAACTTGAGGGTGCTGTTAAAAGTGCTCATGTGTGTTTGGCTGCAGCCTACAGCAGATGCAGGCTGGTGCTACAGGCCTAGGCTGACGGCAGAGGCCCTTTGCTGCACCAAGCTTGCTGTTGCTAGAGGAGTCTTGCGGATACGTGTCTGGGCTGTTAATTTGGCCATGTGACCGTTGAAGTTGCGTTCAATTTACCTGGCGAGCACGCCGTATTTTGACCTGGGTCCTAACAAAAAATCCATTTCCCTTTTCTTTTTTTGGTGCAGCAGGGCGGCGCTCCTCAGACTGGCAGCGCTCCCCAGACTGGCAGCGCTCCTCAGACCGGCAGCGCCCCCCAGCCTGTCCCCACTCCCAACTCAGAGCCGGACTCGGAGCCTGCCCGCGAGACTACCGCCCACCCCGTTAAGGAGGAAGACACCCACTAGGTACCCTTCCCTCCTTCCCTCACGTCTTCTATGATTCCGACACATGTCATGTAATATTATCGCAACGAGCCTGCAGGCCTCATCCGCCACACCCTCACCCGTACCGCTTGACCTCCTGTCACCCAGCCAGATGGCTTGACTTGGAAGCTGACCTCCAAGACCTGAGCCAGAGGTCAATGACTTGATTCAGTCACTTGACTCAGCCACTTGACTCAGCCACTTGACTCAATGGCACAAGATGGCCTTGACCTGATGAGATGGATGTCACCTTGCACATGTCATGCCAAAGCTGCACTGCACACACATAGCCATCAGCCAGCACACTACTAGCTCTGTTTCAAAGGGCTGATGCATCAGTCTGCTGGAAAATGACGAGGCTCGACATCAGGCCTATCGGAAAACCACACAGGCTGCGCGTTGAGCGCTCATCAGGGCCTGGAAAGCGGGCAGAGGCGAGAGGGTCCTGCATCAGTCCTTTCAAAGGGTCCTGCATCAGTCCTAGCCTTTGAAGGCGTCTTGCATCAGTCCTTTGAAGGCGAGCCCAACACTGTGGAGCAGACGACCAACACTCAGCAGCACACACACACACACACACACACGCACACACGCACGCCCCGCCGTGCTTCTTCTTCTCACACCGCCACCCCCCATCTCCACCTAACCCAGCTCCAACTCGACCGCTCGACGCACCTCACCACACAACCACTACCTCCGCCTCCATCCCTTTGCCATTCCATATCCGTCGCACCCGTCGCACCTGTCGCACCTGTCGCACCCGTCGCACCCGTCGCACCACTCAACGCATCATCACCTCCCGCCAACCACGATGTCGGCACCATCCTCATCCGATCCACGGCCCCCCGTCGAGCCGCCATCCGCGGCTGAGGGCGCGGGCGCCAGCATCGATGAGGCAGGGCAGGGACAAGGGGGAACGGTGATGGACGCCATCTTCGCCTCGCTCTTCCAGCCGGGCCTCAACACGACGACGCAGCGCATCATGAACTTTTCCTTCTACGGCCTCTTTGTCTCGCTCCTCGCGCTCCTCTTCCTCTCGAGCGGCAACCCGCACGTCATCGCCCTGCTCGTCCTCAGCGTCGGTCTCTATGCCGGCGTCAACTGGTACGTACCATGCCCTCGCTCGTCCGTCTTTGCTTGCCCGTCTTCGCTCGCTCGCTCGACCGTCCGACCGCCCGTTTGGTCGCTTGCCAGTATGTTCGCTTGCCCGCTCGGTCGCTTGCCCTCTCCGTCGCTCGCCCGTATGGTCGCTCGCCCGTATGGTCGCTCGCCCGCTCGGTCGCTTGCCCATTCGGTCGCTTGCCTGCCCTCGTTCGCCCGCCTGCTCGCCCACTTGTCCATTGGCGGACGTCAGCCAGGCCGGACCGCCGACCACTCCAGCTCAACTCGCCCACCAAGCAGTCCCGACTGACCTCCTAGCCCTCCTCGCCGACCGCCCGTCCTATCATGACAGGTTCCTGCACGAGCTCGAGAATCTACCGCCGAGTGCGCTCAAGATCCAAGAGATGCCGCAGGACAGCAAGGAGGCGAAGGCAGAGGGGACTACGGCGACGATATCCAGCCGGGAGAAGAAGGACCTCTGATCTCGGCCCTGTTCGCTCGGCACTCCTCCTCGATACCCTCCTCTCGCGCTGGTGCACAGCTCGCCGCCGTCGCTCGCTCGCTCGCCCGCACGCCCGCTGGCCCGCCGCCCGCTCGCGCTACCGCTGCAGGCCTTCTCCATCTCCGCGTGGTCTGAAGCCCACTGGCCGCCGCGCACCCGCACTTGACCACCCTCTTCTTCTCCAGCGCAGGTGGCCAGGCCGCTTCCGCAGGCCTCGACGACATCGTTGCAGACACACACGCACGCACGCACGCACGCAAATGGTCTAAACGCCCCACACAGCTCTGTGGCAATCTCGTTTGTCGCACTCGACGACTCTGCATCTCAGCCGCGCTCGCTCGAGCCGCCTCCCCTCTCCTTGGCCGGCGTACCCTGCCCGCCCGTCCCGCTCCCGCCGCTGCGCTGCGAGCGCGACGGCCGCAGATCCCGTCCCAGCATGCGCATCGACGACCCAGACGGTCCCTTTTCCTTGAGCACTGCATCACCGCGACCATACGAGGAGAGAACAAGGGAAAAGACGAGAGCGTTGCGCCGAGATGGTCAGCGGCGTGGACAGCACTGCGCAGCGCTCCGCTCCGGCCCAGGGGCAGCCGACGGCCTCGGGACCACTCACGGCTCTGGAAAAACGTGTGGAGCACCTCGCTCTGCTTGGGGTTGTTCGGATCGTTGATGTCGCCCAGGCTCGGCGACGCGCTGCCCCCCGCTAGCGCCGGGCTCGTCGGTCGGCTGCTCGACGAGCGGCCTCCCAGCCCCGCGCCGCCTCCTGTAGGGCTGCCAATGTCGGCCGCCGATCCACCGCCGCCCGTCGAGATGCCCGCCAGCAGCGACGCCGCATCCTTTCGGGCGCTCGCGCTGCTCGAGCTGATGCCGTCCCTGCCCGAAGCAGTGTCGCGCCGAGACGGTCCGGCGACGCGCGCAGGCCTCGACGACGCCGAGCTCGAAGACGCATTGGCTCCCGTCGAGCTCGAGGAAAAGCCGTCCTCCATCGACGCCGCGCGCTCCGACAGCAAACGATCGATGCCCGGTAGGCTGAGCCCTGACCCGGCCATCGGGCCCACGCCCATGTGCATTCCCGGACCGTCCTGCTCGGCCGCGGGCGACGTGGCCTCTGCGCCGTTGCCGCGTGCGCCATCGGCTGCGGACGTAGCGGCGGCGAGCTGGGCGTTCTGCTTGGCGAACTTGAACCTTGGATCTGGGTCCTTTTGGAGCGTGGCGTAGTGCTGCCCGAGAAAGTCCTGCTCGTCCGGCTGCTTGACGCGGCTTGCGAGGATGTGCGGCGGAGGGCCGGCCTCGTAGTCGGCGACTATGTCCTCGTACAGCTTGACGGCGCTCCGCACGCGATCCTCGGCATCCCGCTCGATCTCCTTGTCCAGCTGGTCCTCTGCGTCCTTGTCGCCCTTGGGCAGCCTCCGCGCCCGCCGCAGCCGCTCAAACTCGCAGTCGTACTCCCAGCCCCGCGCCATGCCCTTGCAGTCGAAGCCGTCGCGGAGCGCACGGATCTTGCCCCACGAGTCCCATCCGCTGGGCACGAGCAGCGTGTCCCTGTCGGTGGTGATGGCCCGGTAGGGAAACTTGAACTCGGTCGAGCCGCCGGCCGCGCCGATCGTCGCTGCTCCTGCCGCAGAGGTGCCCGCCTTGCCGTCGGTGGCGGCCGCGCCGTTGGCCTGCGCCGCTGCTCCCGGAGCCGCCAGGTGCGGCGTAAAGAGGCGGTGGAGGATGTAGGAGCGGAGGATGTCGAACGACTGGGGCCGCGTGTGGCTGGTGAAGAAGAGGGCGGCGCCGTACTTCATGCAGACGGTCCGCAGCACCTGCTGAATGTAGTCGAACTGCTCCTCCTTGAAGTCCTTTTCGCGCTCCAGCTTGGCGATCAGGTCGGCCTTGGTGCAGGTGACGACGATGGGCACGCCCCAGTTCTCGGTGAGCATGCCGTCGGTGAGCGGCAGAACTTCGTCGTCTTGAAGCGCTGCGCTGAGCATCGACGAGGGCGGCGGCAAGATCGTCGTCGTCCCGATACCTTCGATGCCGTTGGTTGTCGAGGCGTCGCCGCTCGGCTGTGGCTCGACGTAGTGCCGCAAGTAGGCCTCCACTGGAGAATGGCCGATGGACATGGCGAGGCAAGCGATGGATGTTGGATAGTGTCAGACGATGTCGTAGCGCCAGGCTGTCTGCAAAGCAGGCCTCCATCGGCAGAAGCAGCGGCACTCACATCGTTCCCGCATCTCGTCGAGTGCCACCTGCGTCCGGCTCCACTTCTGCACCTCGTGGGACCGCTTGCTCAGGGACCCGCCGCTGGCGCTGTCGACGAGCTCGCGAAGGACTTCGAGCCAGTTGCGCAGCTGGTCGAGAAAGGTCCATGGCTGCTCCCAGTCCAGCGTGATGAGCACCAGCGAGTCTTGGAGCGCATCGATGGACGCATGGGGCTGGAAGAGGCCGTTGACGCGGCCGGAGCCGGCGGTGACGCCTGCCGAGACAGCCGCTGCCAATGCGGCCATGGACGACGAGGCCTGCTCTGCCGTCGTCAACCCTATCGGCGCTGGCAGGGCAAAGGGCAGCAGCGAGGTGTAGGCGGGGTCGGACGAGGGCAGCGTGTGGACGCCAACCCGTGCGACGACCTCTGCAACGAGCGGAGGAGCAATGAGCAAAGCAGGAGAGGAGCAGGGACCGGGTCAGCTTCGTTCGTAGGACCACCGCAGGCAGATCGGTCTGCCGGCCAGCGTCATCCGCACCGTACTACGACCAGCGCAACCTCGGCCCACTCACCATCCTTGTCCTTTTCGTCGGCCACCTCAAAGTAGCTGTATCCCAGGCCAAGATCGCCGGCGCTCCTTTCCGACAGCTTGTCCCTCGACGTCGCTGCGACGGTGGCCGCCGCGTCCTTGTCATCGCCTGAACCGACCAGCGGTGTTCTCGCTGCTGACGCTCCTGCGGCCGAGGACGATATCAGGCCCGATGGAGAAGCAGACGCCAGCGACGACAGCAGCGTGCTCTTGCCGGTCTGTGGCTCTCCTGATGTGAGCGAGGGAAGGAAGGGAAACGGGGCAGAGGGAGGTGAGCAGGCTGAAAACGCCGACAGCGGCGCTGATGCCCGATCGAGGGGCGGCACCCACCTAGGAGGATGACGTTCTTTGTGACGATGGCCTTTTTACTCTTGACGCTGTTGAGGATGCTGCTCCAAAGATCCTGGTTCTGCTCGGACTCGGCGGTGCCGTTTGGTGCAGGAGCTGACGCCGAGTTGGAGTGCTGCTGTGCTGGCTCGTCGTGCTGCCGATGCGGCACTGCTGCGGCGGATGGGGTTGGTGTGTCGAAGCTCGTCGTAGTTGCGCCATTCGCGAGTGCGTTGGGCTGCGCTGCCTGGATGCCGAGGCCGTCCATGATGTCGCCAGGTGGGTCAGGTGCGCTCGGTAGGAAGAGGGTGAGTGGGTATCGCCGAGCTCTGGAGGCGAGTGGATGCTACGAGCTTGGATCCGCGGCTGCAAAAGATTCGATAGCTGGCCGCTTGGCCCAGCCGAGTGGCGATACGTAGGCAAGATGGTGAGTGGGTGGTGGTGGTAGTCGTCGTGGTGATCGTGGTCGTAGGAGCGTTTGCTGGGGGCGGCGGCGGCGGCGGGCCGAGACCAACACGCACGGCTGCGCCTGCGCCCACACTCACACGCGCAACCAACAGCAGAGACCAGCAGGCAGGCCAGCAAAGGCAGGCAGGCCAGCCAGCCTCCGCGCTCGGTTCACGCCCCATTTTTTCCAGTCCATCGGGAAGGGGGCCCACACTGCCCCCGATGCATTTTGCATCGGCAAGATTGGCCCACGCTTCCGCCCGCATCCCCTCCCTGGTGCCCGCCCCTCGCCACCTCTGATCTCGTCCATTCTCCCTTAGGGCCGCGTACTGCTCCGCACAGGTACCGCAAGCACCACCACCACGGCGATCCTCGTACAAGCTCGATACGGGCGCAACGCCGACACAACGCTGGCCTGCGAGCAGATGTATCCCAATTCGGACCAGCCAGCTGCCAATTGACCGCGCCCCGGGCATCAAGAACAAGCGCATCAGCGAGCGCCGCAGCATTTGCTGTGGTTGGACCGCAACGCTGCGGCACCTTGATCCTAGATCCATAGAACAGTGGATCGCAGGGTGAGCGGGCGCCTGACGACGTGGAAGCGTCTGCGGGACAAAGCTCGAGACGTACGATGCCGGGGCCGAGACGCGGGACAGGCGGCATCCACAGCGCAGTCGGGATCGAGCGGATCGAGACGGGTCCTCCAGCCGATGGCTCAGCTTTCGATGTGAGTAGTACCTGCACCACGCGCGACTGACTCGGTGACGAGCGGGCAGGTACGTAGACGAGAGACAGAGAGGCAAATGCGGCGCCGATCGCGCGAGCCGGCCCCCTCGCCCCATCCCAGCAAAGGCGTAACCCGTGAGACAAGGACGCGGCCAGGCTGTCTCACCCGTAGCGTCAGGCACCTCGCTCGCCAATCGCCACGATATCGAACCAGTATCGTACCAACAGAGATCGGGCCGATGAACCAGACGCAGCGAGAAAACAATCCTCGGCCCTTGGCGGCGGGCGAGGAAGGAAAGGCCGGGGCAAGCCTTCAAAGCAGACGATACTACTGTACCGACTTGCTTCTCCCAGGCCGCGCGATGAGCTGGGAAGCAGTCGTCACGACCGCAGCGGCTCATAAGTCTCCTCGACGGCAAGGACCGTACATACCAGAGGGCCAGGCAGGAGCTCGGCGTGGAAGAGGACGTGGGGCACCCCGAGGGTAGGAGCATGGTGTCCGAAGATCGACGATGACTCTGCTCGCCGCAGGTCGAGGCCTAGACCGCGCTTCGATGCTGGCGGCCAAAAGAAGCTTTCTGGGTCGCCCTCTGCCTCTCAGGCACATGTCCAAATGTCCGCCACTGCGATCCGTACGTCTTGCTTCCGAAGAGACAGGGACGGGGCGGGTCGCCGGTACTGTATCGGCCATGACTGGAGTCCGCGCACAACAGAGGGGCCGGCCTTAGACTGGAGGATGCCGGCGAGATCGTGCAAACCGTTTCCGAACCCGGCTTGGCGAGCAGGCAGGCCAGAGCCCGCCACTGACGCCACCACCACCGACCGCGGCGACGTCGACGGGTTCAGTCGAGGTCCATACATAACCTTCCTGCTGCTGCCAGTCCCTGGCCAAGAAGCGGCGTCAGGCGGCAATCACCGGTACGAGGCTAGGGCATCGCACCAATCCACTCGGCAGGCCTCTCACAGTCAGCAGGCAAAGCCGGATCCTGCCCATCGTCGCACGCGGTGTGGCGTCGTTCGCAACGGATGCGCTCTTACCAAGGCAGGATGCCCGACAATGGCGCGCTCTGGTCGTAGGGTCGCCAAGCTGGATTGTCGCCTTGACCTCTGACGTGCGTTGGTCGAGGATGCTCGCGCTGATGTCGATGGGTCGTGGACCCCAGGGTTGCGTGGGGTCCGTTGAAGGGCCAGGGTAGCGTCATGGCCTCTTCTCGCCCGGTACAGCCGCCAGCCCTGCGACACCGCCACGAGGGCGGGCGGCATCTTGTCCGCGCGCCCGAGATCAGCTAGACTCGCCTCGTCTCGATGAAGAAGCCAGAGCGGCGCAGGCCGTTGCGCAGGTGGCGTCGCAGCGTCCTCCCGTGCGTTGCGCTGAGCGGCGACGATCGAGGCACGAAATCAATGAGATCGATCCAGGTACGGTGCGGGCAGTAGCCTTGACCGATCGTGGGCATCTCGAGATGCTGACTCGGACAATGGCCGCGGCCCCCGGCCACGTCGACTACAGTAGACCTTTCGAGCGCAGCGGCAGTTGGCCGATACGGAACGATGAAACAGCAGTAGTCAACAGCTCAGGCAATGATACCCGCCTGTGATCGATGATGATCGTTGCTACCTCGACGGTGGCGGGCGGGATCGCACAGCTCGGATGCCAAGTGGGCAGGGTGTCCATGTCGTTGCCGCCCAGGCCCAGCCACGCCTGCCCGTTGGATCCGTCCAACATCATCATCGATGTTCCATTTGCCCCCATCTCGTCGTGACTCGACCAGGTATGGAAGCCCCTTCTGCCCGCAGGGAAGAAGGGCAAGGCAAGACGAACCGAGAGCGACGGTGGCAAGTCAGTCCCGCACGGCATGCAAGGAGGAGGTCGGCATCAAAACGTGTGAGCGGCAAGTTTGCCTCAAGCCATCCGGCGGTGGCTTGGGTGGAGCGCGCGCGGCATCGGACGAGGTGGACGTTTCGAGGTGACGTCTCTGGACCCTGCCATCCGAGGTCATGCCAGGCCGGCTGCTGGGGCGGGGGTCCCGAGCGAACCCTGACTGTGCGATTCTCGGCGCTGAGCCTTTGTTTTGAGCGGGGATCACGGACGCAGGCGCCGATTTAGAGCTCGTCTCTGGGCCCGGTGCCCTTCCGCTGTGGTGCCCG